AGCCCAGCAGGTTGACACTGGGGTGACCGTGAGTGTGCCACTGCACTCCAGCCTGGGTGACGAAGTGAGACTCCAACTCAAAAAAAAAAAAAAGAGATAAGCACTCTTGGATCTGCAGTCTTGCTCTTTCTTAGTGTTGCTTCCCAGGAGGCTCTGAAATAAGAAGTTTATCTTCATCAACTGTGACAGGGGATTCGGTGAAGTAGAGCCCAGGGGGTGTTGAACCTCACCTCTGCTTCATTCCATTGGACTGATTGATGGGTTGACCCAAATTAACAACTTTTGGCCTCACTAAAGCTGCACAACAGTTGGCAACCTGACAGCCTGGCCAGGACTTCCTATTTCCTGTTGTTAAACACTTAGGGCTGTACTCATCAGCAGGCCATGGCCCCTCATAACTTCTTTTACTTTCTGTTGATTAGAGAGGAGCATCATGACATCCTGGCTGTAGCTGACTGGGGACAGAAACTTTCCTTCTACCACCTGAGTGGAAAACAGGTATGTAGCCCTATACAAACCCAGTTGCAGTCATACCTGTTATACTATATTTTCACTTTCTGAAATTGTATTATTGTGAATCATATATTACCATTGTTAGTTTCTGCTTACTGAGCATTTACTGTGATACCAGATATTGTGCTCAGTGCTTTACATATTTTGTCTCATTCTTACAGAACCCTGTGAAGTAGGTACTTTCATTGTCAACTTTTTTTTTGAGTTGGAGTCTCACTTGGCCCAGGCTGGAGTGCAGTGGCATGCTCACAGTCACCCCAGTGTCGACCTGCTGGGCTCAGGTGATCCTTCTGCCTCAGCCTTCCAAATAGCCGGAACTACAGGCGCATGCTACCACATCCAGATAATTTTTTGATTCATTGTAGAGACCAGGTCTCACTGTGTTGCCCGAACTGGTCTTGAACCCATGGACTCAGGGAATCCTCTCACCTCAGCCTCCCAAAGTGCATTGTCAACTTTTTAGAACTGAGTAGACCAAGACTCAGAATAGTGAAATATATGCCCAAGGTCTCACATAACCAGTAAATAGTGGAGCCTGGGATTGAAACCCAGATCCGTTTTTTGTTGTTATTTTAAATATTCCATGCACCATTCTAGAAACTCAGATGGTTTGATTTTAAAGTCTAGCTCTTAGTCATGACCTTACCTTTCTCTCACTGCTTTCCTTCTTCCTGCCAACACTTATGAGTATCTACTTAGGCCAGCTCTAACATGGAAAAGCTGCTGCCATAGAGCTTCTGCCTGCAAGAGCCCACAAGTTGGAGGGGGGACATACTTGATAGAAGACAGTTGCAGTGTGCTGTGGTAGGTGACATATTAGAGAGATACACAGATAAATAGCTATAAGAACACAAAAGAGGGTGACATCGTCACTTTTTAGAGATAGGAGGTCTTGTCAGAGGTAACCTTTGAGCAGGAAGAGCAGGCTTTTTCTAGACAGAGGGCACTGGGAATAGTGTTTGGGACAGAGGAAATAACATGTACCAAGGCAGAGAGGAGCAAAAATATATGACAGTTCAGAAAACTGAGTTGTTCAGGGTGACTGAATCCCTGAGTTTGTAGACAGCAGATGGAGCTGGAGAGGAAGATAGGGACATAATTGTCAAGGACCTGAGTAGTGTGAATAAGAAATTTGAGCGACATGTTAGTATTCAGGAGCAACAAATGGCAGGGAGAGGCATGGTCAGATTCCTGTTTCAGAAGACCTCATTGTATCTGTAGAGCGTGGATTAAAATATAGAAAGTATGGTGAGTAGGCAGGAAACACCAAGGATTAGAGTGAAGCTGGGAGAGATACAGGTTGCATACCACAGCCAGCAAGTGAGAAATAACAGCCTGTTCAATGGAGCTTTTCATCCTTATTCCTCAAAATATGTCCTGCTAGAAGAAAGGGTTTCAGGTGTGTGTAGCCCAGTTTTGGGAGCCATATCTTTTGTAGTTGAGTAAAGAAAAGATAAAGGTCGCAAATAAGTGTTTTCTCAGTTTCTTGTGGCTAATTTCCCATAACGCTCATTTTAATTGACCAGCATCTAGTTTCCCAGGCCCTGTCTGTTAATACATTTAATATATGTGCATCATCATTCAACAGATACTTATCAGCACACCTACTGTGTACCAGGTACTAGATGTGGGTATTGGAGATTCTTGGAAACAAATAACCACAGTACACTGGGGTGATATGGGGTCTTGTTCCTATAGTGATAGTAAAAAGAGTTCATCATGGTGGTCAGGGCCATGGGAAATATCTTGCATGTATGCAGCTGCAGAGCTCATGTTGTGGCCCAGGGCTTTTGAATGATTAGCAACCTCAGCCTGCTGAGATGGTAACCCCAACTGGTTTGGGAGAGTAAAATTGTTTTCCTGGTGAGTGTCTTGTAACTCTGGGAAGATTTAGAACTAAATATAGGATGATGAAGTAAATTAAGTCCATACTTTTTAGGCTTAGGCATAATTTATGTATTGTTGGTATTTTAAGTGTTTTAACATTTAAGAAGATTTGGCTTAGTAATAATAATAGCTAATGTTTATTGAGTTCCAGGCATTGTATAAACTCTGTATAAGGGTTAATTCTTTTAATCTTTATAACAACTCTATGAGATAGGTGCTATTATCATCACCATTTCACACGTAAGGAAATTGAAGCACAGAGAGCTTCGGTAATTTGAAGGCCACACAGTTTAGTCTTTGGCCAACCCTGGTTTGGAACCAAGGCATACTGGTGTCAGAGTACATATTAGAATTTCTACCTATCAGATTAGTCTTGTGATGACAATTTAAAAGTTGTAATTAATTTTATACTTCTACCAAGCATAGTGACTCATGCCTGTAATCCCAGCACTTTGGGAGGTAGAGGCAAGAGGATTGTCTGAACCCACAGGTTCGATACCAGCCTGAGCAACATCATGAGACCTCGTCTCTACAATAAATCAAAAAACTAGCTGGACGTGGTGGCACACACCTGTAGTTCCAGCTATTTGGAAGGCTGAGGTGGAAGGATCTCCTGAGCCCAACAAATCAAGGCTGTGGTGGCTGTGAGCGTGACACTGCACTCCAGCCTGGGAGACAGAGTGAGACTCCGATTCAGAAAAAGAATTTTACTTCTGATTTTAAATGGAAAGAAGTAAGACTTGTTTGCTAAGTTCCTAAGCGATATTGGAATGTTTAAGTGTTTCATTACATTTTTCTGCTTGAGAATCACTGTGTTTTTTGAATTTACACATTTATATCTTTATGTCTTTCACCAAATGTAGAAAAGTTTTGGCCATGATTTCTTTAAGTATTTTTTTCTTCTCCATTCTCTTCTTTCCTTTTGAGGCTTCAGTAACACTTATATTAGGCCGTTTGCTATTGTTCTCTAGTCACTAAGGCCCTGTTCCTTTTTTTTTTTTTTTTTGAGTTGGAATCTCCCTCTGTCACCCAGGCTAGAGTGCAGTGGCATGCTCACAGCCACACCAGCATCAACCTGCTGGACTCTGGTAATCCTTCCGTTTCAGTCTTCCAAGTAGCCAGAACTACAGGCATGCGCTACCACGCCCAGCTAATTTTTCATGTATTGTAGAGACAACATCTCACCAAGTTGCCCAGGCTGGTTGTGAACCCGCAGGCTCAGGCAATCCACTCACCTTGACCTCCCAAAGTGCTGGAATTACAGGCTGAGCCACTGAGTCCAGCCTCATTTTTTTTAAATCTCGTTTTTCTCCTGATCATCAGATTGGAGGATTTTTATTATTATTCAACTTCATTGACTCTTCTGCAATCTCTAATATTTCTGTAAGCTTATCCAGTGAATATTTTTGTAAGTTATTGTATTTTTCTGTTCTAGAATTTCCTTTTTTTTCTGTTTGTTCACTAATTGTAAGCATATTTTCCTTTATATCCTTAACCGTAGTTGTAATAGGTGTTTTAAAATTCTCGTCTGCTAACTTAACATCTGGGTCATCTTGGGTCAGTCTCCATTGTCTTTTCTTTTAAGTATGGTTCACATTTTCCTGCTTTTTGGAATTCCAGGTTGTACTCTAGACATTGAGAATGATACTTCATAGAGACTTATTTCCATCATATTCTTTTGAAAATTATTCTGTGCATGTGTGTTTAAGTATTTAGTTTATGTTGCTGGACTCAAAATGCAAACTCTATGTTTTCAATGGTAGACAGCAACTGACATCTCTGTGTAGTTCTTTAGCCTTAGTCAGGCTACGCAGCATCTGTATCAGAGTTCATATGTAATTCCACTGGAAAGCATTTAAGGAAGAAACTGTGCGTTTACTGTAGAGACCTGAACACATCGTTGGCAATACAGTGTAGAGCTCAAGGATTTCCAGAGACTAAAGAGTTTATGTACAGAATATAGGCTGTCACTCTGCATCTCTTTTCTGGGATTTCACACCTCACTTTCCAACTGCTGTGGTCCGAAATTCTGTACTCGCCCAACATAGTGCCCAAGAAGCCTTCCCTCAGGCAAAAAGCCATTTGAAAAAATAAGTTCACCTAATACTGTTCCCTTTTTCCAGTGTGCATGTGTCTTCATTTCTGCCTGCTTTTGGTTGCTCTCAGGTGGTAGCTGTTTATAGTTGGTCTAGATTTTATAGCTGTTGCATATGGGAAGGTTGGTCCAATAGGAACTACTGAGCCATTGCCAAAAGCTGCCAACCTTCCTTGTCATGACTCATAAGATTATTTAGTTATCTTGTTAGATTTACTAGCATCATATAAGTGCTAGGGAAAGTTTTGGTTGCTAGGCATTTGAAACTCCTAAAAAGGAAGGGAAATTTGACTATATTAAACTTATAATTGCAGTTTAAATTAGTTTAAGGGAATTAACTAACTTGTAAATAGGACTGACTATTTAAGGGGTTTTATAATCTGTTCAAAATTGAATTTATTAAACTGTCAAAGTAAATGCATTATTCACTTTTACTAGATTTATAAATAGGAAAATATTTGTAAATTGAACTTAAAAACTTAAGGAGAAACTTGGTCCCTAGAGTTATTTTTTAATAAATTGTATATTAGTTTAATAATGTTAATCATAAATAGTTTTTGTTGTTGTTGTTGTTTTTTGAGTTGGAGTCTGTTGCCCAGGCTGAAGTGCAGTCGCATGCTCACAACCACCGCCGCCTCTACCTGCTGGGCTCAGGTGATCCATCTCCTCAGCCTTCTAAGTGGCCAGAACTACTGGCATGCACCACCATACCTGGCTAATTTTTTTATTTATTGTAGAAATGAGGTCTCACCCAGTTGCCCAGGCTGGTGGCAAACCCCTGGACTCAGGTAATCCTCTCGCCTCCGCCTCCCAAAATGATGGGATTACAGATGTGAGCTACTGTGCCCGGCTTTTTTTTTTTATACAGGCTGGAGTGCAATGACACAATCATAGCCCATAGCTCACTGCATCTTTGATCTCCAAGCAATTCTCTCACCTCAGCCTCCCAAGTAACTAGGACTATAGCACATACTGGCTAATTTTTTTTACTTTTTAGTAGAGTGGAGGGGTCTTGCTATGTTGCCCAGACTGGTCTTGAACTCCTTGCTTTAAGTGACCCTCCTCCTGCTTTAGCCTCCTAAAATTCTGAGATTACAGGTGTGAGCCACCACACCCAGCCACAAATAGTCTTTTTATTCACAAAGATACTCTTCAGGGCAGCAAAAAACTGCAGTGACAATAAGAAGCTCAAGCTTTAGTGGGGGAGTTCTGAATTTAACTCTGTAACTGCAGGCAGTGAGGGAAGTACTAGGGGAGAGGTGAGCATGGGGCAATGGGAGGCTGGGGGATGGGAATTGGGAGATGACGTGGCAGAGAAGGAGAGGGAAAGAGCGCTCCTGGCTGGGGCTGGGATGGTGTAGAGAATAGTGCCTGTAAGGACAGGAAAGCCTGAAAGGGCATGGTCCGCTTGGGAAACTGCAGGAAGTTCATTTTGGCTGAGAGAATGATCTTGGGGACGCAAGGATTTTGACCTTCATCTTAAAAGCTGAGGAGACTCCATTAAGAAAATGAAGACAAGCTGGGCTCGGTGGCTCAGCCTGTAATCTCAGCACTTTGGGAGGCCAAGGCGAATGGATTGCCTGAGCCCGTGGGTTCAAGACCCACCCAGGCAACTTGGCGAGACCTCGTCTCTACAATAAATCAAAAATTAGCTGGGTGTGGTAGCACGCGCCTGTAGTTCCGGCTACTTGGAAGGCTGAGGCAGAAGGATTGCCGGAGCCCAGCAGGTCGAGGCTGCGGTGGCCGGGAGCGGCCACTGCACTCCAGTCTGGGCGACAGAGTGAGACTCCAACTCAAAAAAAAAAAAGAACTATAAAGACAAACAACCCAGTTGAAAAATGGGCAAAGGATCTGAATAGACATTTCTCTGTGACCAATGAGCACATGAAATGATGTTCCACAACACCAGCCATCAGAGAAATGCATATCAAAACCACAATGAGATACGACTTCACACCCACTAGGATGAAAAATTGGAATCTTCAAACACTGATAGTACAAATATAAAATGGTGTTGTCGGCTGGGCACGGTTCCTCATGCCTGTAATCCCAGCACTTCGGGAGGCCGAGACGGGAGTTCAAGACCAGCCTAGGCAACACAGCAAGACCTTGTCTCTACAAAAAATCAAAAAATTAGTCAGGCATGGTCTCACACACCTTTAGTCCCAGCTACTCAGGAGGGTGAGGTAGAAAGATCACCTGAACCCAGGAGGTGGAGACTGTGGTGAGGTGAGATCATGCCACTGCACTGTTGTCCAGCATGAGCAACAGAGTGAAACTCCAATTTAAAATGGTACAGTCACTTTGAAAAAGTGTAGAGGTATACTATACAATCTCTTTGGTAACCTTACCTTGTTTCTCCTAATGGAATTCTTCAATAAATGGACAAGGATGAACTCCACTTACTATTCTATAAGTGCTGATAGGATTAAGTCTGGTTCTTGCCAAATGGTTCATGATCCAAATTAGAAAGGGAGACAGAATATATAAACACAGAGAAATCTGGTAGCATGTTCTTTTCATGCTGGAATTGTCCTGCTGAATTACTGTAGATGTAATTCCACTGGAAAGCATTGAAGGAAGAAGCTAAGCTTACTGTAGAGACCTGAATACATCGTTGGCAATAAATAAATAATCAATATTCATAACAGCCAAAATTCTGGCCTTGTGTTCTCAATAAAATTCTTTGTTTCTATTGATTTGGCACATATACTATTAATAAACATTTTCTTACTACAAAAAAAAGAAAGAGTGTAGACGTTTCCCAAAATGTGAAACATAGAGTTAGTGTGTAACCCAGCAATTCCACTTCTATGTATATACTCAAGAGCAGTGGAAACGTGTGTCTACACAAAAACATGTACATGAATATTCACTCATAGCAATGTTATCCATAATAACTAAAAAGTAGAAACAAGCCAAATGTTCACCAACTGATGAACAGATAAACAAAATGTGACATATCATGCAATGGAATATTATTTAGCAATGAAAAGGAATGAAGTACTGGTATATGTTGCAATATGGATGAACTGGACACAAAAGGCCATATATTGTGTGATTCCATTTATATGAATTGTCCAGCTTAGGCAAATTCATAGAGACAGAAAGCAGGTTAGTGGCTGTCAGGGATGAAGATAGGGAATTTGAATAGACTACTACCAGGTATGGGGTTTATTTTAGGGTGATGGAAATGTTCTGGAATTAGATGGTGATGATGATTGCACAACTCTGTGACTATGTTGAAAGCTATCAAATTATACATTTTGTTTATTTAATTATTATTTTTTAGATGATCATGGCTCACCACAGCCTTGGTCTCCTGGGCTCTGGTGATCTTTCCACCTCAGCTCCCGGGTAACTGGAACTACAGATGTGTGCATTAACACCCAGCTAATTTTTTTATTTTCTGTAGAGATGAGGCTCACTATGTTGCCCAGGCTGGTCTCAGACTCCAAAACTCAAGCTATCTACCTGCCTTAGCCTCCCAAAGTGCTGGGATATAGGCATGAGCCACCGTGCCTCGCCCTGTACTCTTTAAATGGATGAATTACATGGTATATGAGCTATATCTCAAAAAAAGTTGATATAAAGAGAAGTAGTATGGGGCAACCCCTCAGGTCCCCCTCCCACTGTGGGAGTTTTTCTGTCCTTTCCATAAATCTTGCTTTAAAATTTAAAAAAAGAGAGAGAAGTCGTATGGGCCTAGTTGCAGAATGAATAGTCTTTTAAACTGAATAAACTCAGCTTCATAAAATACTTTTTAAAAAGTGAACCATAGCAAGTTATGTGCAGAAGAGGGCCTGGAGGGCAACACCACCATCAGTTTCCAGGTTGGCTGAGGAGCTGAGACACACTTCTGGAGCAGTTAGGTAGGACTGGGGGAGATGCTGCTGAGTCTAGAAGTCCAGGGTTTGGCTCGGTGGAGAGGAGGAGTAGGGTGACCCAGAGGCAGTGAAGCCCGGGTTCACGATGGAATAACACAGGAGATATGGCTGGCCAGCTGTCTGTTTCCCCAGCTTACCCCATTAAAGTTGGTGGGAAAAGCCCTTAAATATATTGCAATTATTATGGACTTAGAAATGCCTTTTCCCTTGCTTTCTCTTTCTGCAGATTGGGAAGGATCGACCACTGAACTTTGACCCCTGTTGCATCAGCTACTTTACTAAAGGGGAGTACATCTTGCTGGGAGGGTCAGACAAGCAAGTATCCCTTTTCACCAAAGATGGAATGCGACTTGGGACTGTTGGGGAGCAGACCTCCTGGGTGTGGACATGTAAAGTGAAACCTGATTCCAACTACGTGGTAAGAAGAGGAAGTCCATTCTTTTGGGCCTTTGCTTGAGAGTGCACTGAGCATCAGCCATGTGTAGCTAGTCAGATCATTGGTGTTTGTTCCTGACAAATGGAGGGGCAGTCTCTTTCTCCAGAGAGCTGGAAATTGACAGTTCTCTTACCCTGTAGGTGGTTGGCTGCCAGGATGGCACCATTTCCTTCTACCAGCTTATTTTCAGCACAGTTCATGGGCTCTACAAGGACCGTTATGCCTACAGGGATAGTATGACTGATGTCATCGTGCAGCACCTTATCACTGAGCAGAAAGGTAAGAGGCAGGTATGGCCCTTCTGCCCCCTAGACATTGGGAAGATAGGTAGGTTGAGAGAGCTGATTGCAGGACACTTGAAATGACAGGAAAGATTTTTCCTTGGCCTTTTGAAAACATGTTAGTCACTGGGACTTGGATTTTTTTGTTTTTTTGTTTTTTGTTTTTTTGGCAGGGGCAGTGGGGATGTCTGTCTCTTTGAGGATCTCTTGAAAGCAATAAACACTTTTCCTCAAAAAATGCACCAACTCAAAATTTGGCAAAAATTCCAAGGGGTACAGAGTCCATGTACTCTGAGTTAGGGAAGATGACTTACAACAAGTTGGAGCCAGGGTGGTTGACCTGCATGGGTCTTTGCGGGCCTATATCCTTTCTGGTCATAGTCACTCCAGGGGACTTCTCACCTCAGCCCAGTCTCCACTTGCCTCCTGGAGGATCCTTCTGCCAGAGATAAACAGGGACAGTGGATCAGCACAGGCTCAGTCAGAAGGTCAGGGTTCTAGGCCTAGCATAGTGGGTCCAAGCTCTAACCTCAGCCTCCTGCTTTGTCCAGCCAAGTAGCTGTGCTGGTCAAATAAGCTAAGAATTCACTTATTTCAGGTATGTTCATGTCCAAATGTGCTGTCCACAGTGCAGTGCTGGGTGACTTTGCATAGGGATCCAGGTTGGGAGTTGTCTTGCAGACTCAGATGAGCAAGCAGCCTTTGGTCCCCATCTAGGACCACCTCTATTTGAAGATTCCAGCTGTGATGGCGGGAGTTGTAACCGCCCAGGCAATTCCACATTGTTCCTTCTGGGGCATTTTTCCCATGTGGACTGTAGTGAGAGTGTAGAACAAAGTGTGTACCAGAAACTACATGCCATTTTCAGTCATCAAGGAGGTGGATGGGAGTGGCCAGAGGTGAGATCAGTCACCTAGACAGACTCCCGCTAGTTAGGGGCTGCGAGTGCTGTGTAGAGAAGTTAGATTTATATTCAGCTGGGGATGGTAGTACTAAGCATCCACAGTTGTAAGCTTTGGTCCACAAAGATTATGTTGTATACGACTTTGGATCCAGCGCCCAGCAGAGATGATTATACATATTAGATACTCTGTAAAGATTTTTTAATGAGAGTATTTCACTCTAATTGCTAGTAGCATTAAGTAAATGATAGCTTTTAATTTCTCTGCCTTGCACCTTACTTAACAACCTCTTGGTAGAACTGTATTTTTTTTTTCCTTGACAGTTCGGATTAAATGCAAAGAGCTTGTCAAGAAAATTGCCATCTATAAAAATCGATTAGCCATCCAGCTGCCAGAGAAAATCATCATCTATGAGTTGTTTTCAGATGACTCGTCAGACATGCATTATCGGGTAACAGAGAAGATTGTCAAGAAGTTTGAGTGCAACCTCTTGGTGGTATGTGCCCAGCACATCATCCTCTGCCAGGTGGGTAGCAGCATGTTGCAGGGGTCTGGCTAAATTTACTTCATGCGTCCCCTATGAATAAGGTACTCAGCTCATGGTTTTAAACCTGGTCACTAGAAAACAAGTCTCTTTTTGTCAAACTCAGTGGTTATTTACTGGCTTTCATTTTCCTGGCATCTAGGTGAATCAGACTATTAGAAAGTCATGGGGCCGGGCTCAGTGGCTCAACCTGTAATCCCAGCGCTTTGGGATGTTGAGGTGAGTGAATTGCCTGAGCCTGCGGGTTCAAGACCTGCCTGGGCAACTTGGCGAGGCCTCATCTCTACAATAAATCAAAAATTAGCCGGGCGTGGTAGCGCGAGCCTGTAGTTCCCGCTACTTGGAAGGCTGAGGTGGAAGGGTCGCCGGAGCCCAGCAGGTCTAGGCTGCGGTGGCCAGGAGCAGCCCCTGCACTCCAGTCTGGGAGACAGAGTGAGACTCCAACTCAAAAAAAAAAAAGAAAGTCATGGGCCATAAACTAGAGAATACCTTTTTGTATTGCAGAGCATTTTGTCATACTGGGATTAGATATATTTTAATGACTTAAAGCGTACATTGGGACCCACAAAAAGAAGATTTTTTTTTTTTAGTTGGAGTCTCACTCTGTCAGACAGGCTGGAATGCTGTGGCACGATCACAGCTACTGCAACCTTGTCTTGCTGATCTCAGGGAATCCTTCCACTTCAGCCTTCCAGGTAGCTGGGACTACAGGCACACACCACTATATGCGTCTAATTTTTTAATTTGTTGTAAAGATGAGGGCTCACCATATTGCCCAGACCTGTGTTGAACTCTTGAGCTCAGGAAATCCTTGGCCTCCCCAAGTTCTGGGATTACAGATGTGAGCCACCATGCCTGGCCTGAAGATTTTTTGTTATAAGCATATACACATAATATTTATATCAACTCAGTAATAGTCAAGGAAGTTTTACTTCCTGAGATTTTTTTTCATGGAAAAATTTTCTCAACTTAGATGTTCAGAAAGTGTCTAAGTCAATGACATTAGTTGGAAAAGACTTTGAGAGAATGCTAGCCCAGCATCTTTCTTGGAAGTAGAGGTGGATTCGGTCCACATAGGCCTATTGGAAGTGATAAAAATGGAAGAAATCCCTTAGGAATTACTGTAGTGTAAAATACTGTTAAAGTATCTCTGAAAGTGTAGAACTTTTTTTTTTTTTTTTTTTTTTGAGTTGGAGTCTTACTCGGTCGCCCAGACTGGAGTGCAGTGGCCACTCATGGCCACCGCAGCCTCAACCTGCTGGGCTCCAGCAATCCTTCCGCCTCAGCCCTCCAAGTAGCTGGAACTATAGGCGCATGCCACCATGCCCAGCTGATTTTTTTGATTTATTGTAGAGATGAGGTCTTGCCAAGTTGCCCAGGCGAGTCACGAACCCACGGGCCCAGGCAATTCACTCACCTCAGCCTCCCAAGGTGCGGGATTACAGGCTGAGCCACCGAGCCCGGCTGAAGGTGTAGAACTTTAAGAAGTAGTTTAGGATTGCCACAAGGTATAAGATAGTTGTGTCAGTAGCTGTACTCTTGGGTGCTTCCTCAGGTCCTGGCTGCCTGAATGGAGGTCTACACTGAGGCTGAATTGGACTCCTTGGGGAAGACTTACATGAAGGATTAACTATGCCAATCACAGGACTAGATGGGATTAGATAGATACTGAATATGTAACTAAATTTTCACCCTTCAGGTACAGGAAGACCTCTTTGGGAAGGGCTGGGAGCGCTTATTCTGTTGAACCTCTAGGTGAAGTTGGGTTTGCTTCCTAGGAGAAACGACTGCAATGCCTGTCCTTCAGAGGAGTGAAGGAGCGGGAGTGGCAGATGGAGTCTCTCATTCGTTACATCAAGGTGATTGGTGGCCCTCCTGGAAGAGAAGGCCTGTTAGTGGGCCTGAAGAATGGACAGGTGAGTGCTCCTGCATGTCTCCCATCAGGCTGTATCTGCATGCACACACACAGGCAACCCGTCTAGTTATAACCTGAGATGAGTTCCTGGGGTAGGGAAAGAGCCTCTCCCCTCTGTGGGCGCATTGGAGGGCAGGCAGCCCTGAGTTCAGTTTGATGACAACAGCCTCAGGCCAAAGATGTCATGGCCCTCAGATACTTAGCATGCCCACATTGTGGCAGAGTTGAGCTGTCGCCTCTGGCTGCATGTGGAGTGGATTAGTGGGCTTCAGGTCACTCAGAAGGTGGGGGATTTGTTAGAGATGCTGCTTCAATGGATTGCTAGAGAGGGAGACAGAGATCATCACTTAGGTCAGCTCCCTATTAGGGCTGTGAGTGGATTAACACAGTATGTTCTAGCGTGTATCCTAGAGAATGCCAGGTCCTTGGAATATTAGTAGGTGCTAGAGGAAAAGTGGGCCCTTTCGTCAAATAGATGTGGGAAATCTAGGTTACAGAAAGTTAAACAGATTTCTCTGTGTGTGTGTGTGTGTACTTTGTTCAAAATAAGAAAAGTTCTAAGTGGGCTACATGGAAATTTGAAAGTGAAAATATAACTACATTAGCCTGTGAGCCAAGCTGTGTACCAGATGGCTTATGGCTGAGACTTGTCAGGTCTTTGCTAGAGATGGAAGTCACTGAGCATGAGATCAGTGGGAGCAATTAAGCAGCAATACCAAAGAAGAGGCGGGGCCTGCTCTTTTTCTCACAGTTAGCTCTCACTTCCCATGTGAACCTGAGAACTCGGATTTTGGGCCCAGTTGACCAGATTATATCCTCACCTAGCTACTCACTAGCTTTATCACCCAAGGCAGGTCACTTTACCTCTCTGAGGCTATGCTTTGCAAATAAGGCTAATACAGCCTGTTTCCTAGCACTGTCAAAAACAGGGATATCAAAGCAAATGTGGTAGTTCACATCTCTTGTCCCAGCTACTTGGGAGGCTGAGATAAGAGGATTGCTTGAGGCCAGGAGTTTGAGGTTACAGTGAGCTATGATCACACCACTGCACTCCGGCTTGGGAAATGTAGCAAGACCTGTCTCAAAAAATTTTTTTAAAAAATAAGTATATCAATAAATGATAGTTGTCATCATCAGCATCATCATTATTCTACTTTTATACCAGATGTCTTGTCAGTGTTTATGGTAGCCTTTTCCTGTGTTTGTGACTCAGATCTTTGCTAGATTATATCACCTAACTCTACAGTTTGGGTGATGTCATTAATAAATCCCAAGTCCAAACAGCTACTGATGTGAGTTTGGTCTGTCTCGGGCTTGTCATTACTTTTCCAACCTCTGATAAACCACATTTTTGGTCTCCTAAGGATAAGCTTCTTTCTTTTGATGAGTCTTTTTCTCTGCCCAGAGCTTCTGGTAAAGTTAGTGGGAGTTGTTCTTGTAGAACACATGGGATTCTAATAGCCTGGCGGTGTTCCAGGGTCTTGTTGCCATGGTGACTTTTTTCTCTGAAATTTCACCAGATCCTGAAGATCTTCGTGGACAATCTCTTAGCCATCATCCTACTGAAGCAGGCCACAGCCGTGCGTTGCTTGGACATGAGTGCCTCCCGTAACAAGCTGGCTGTGGTGGATGAAAATGACACATGCCTGGTGTATGACATCCACACCAAGGAGCTGCTTTTTCAGGTGAAGTCCCCAAGAGGCCTCAAGGATATGGTCCTTTGATTAGAGACCCTTTTCTAGCTTCCCATTCCCTGCAGGAGGCACTCCCGCTCTGGCCCAGCCTGGTCTCTGGGAGGATCAGCGAGTGTAGGGGCCAAGCACAGGCACAGAGTCCAAGAGACTCCCAGCCACAGCACACCCCTCCCACCACCCACAAGCTGCAGGACCTGGGCTAGCCTCTTTGGGCTTGAGTCCTGCCTTCATCATTTACTGTATGACCTTAAGCAAGTTAGTGAACCTCTCAGCCTCAATTTCTCCTTATCTTTAAAATGAAACTAGCAAATGCCCCCTCACAGAATTGCTCCAGAAATGAACAAGATAGCGTAGCTACTAGCTCAGTGCTTTGTACAAAATAGTACTCTAAATATTACTTCTGTTCTTCCCAGCCTCAACCTGTACCTGCAGGTTAGTAGGTCTTAAATATGAATCTGTGTTTGAGCCTAGAACCATATAAGTATGGAAGGGTATGTGTCCTCCCCAGTTCCTACTGATGGCTTTGTGGCAGGCTAGGGAAGGTAATTCTCAGACTGCCAGAAGACGTCAACATTCCCAGCTATAACATTGCCTACTTAGTTTTTTCTTCTCCACTGCCCCTGCCCCCCACAAATGAAAACAGCTGTATTGGTTTATTTTTGTCTTATTATAAAAGTAATCCATGCCAATTCTAAAAGATTCAGATATTATAAAGGATTCTAGGGGAAAGGTATGGGCATATGCTGGTCCCTCGAGCTCCAGGGCTGAGCAGAAAACTGAGAGGAAGGGGGGTGACTGTATTTTTACACTTTGTGAGTTGTAAATGCAAAGACCAATATATTATTTTCAATTTTTCTTTTTCTTATTATAGAAAACAATAGATGTTCATGGCCAAAAGAATTCATGCAAACAAAAAAAGTAAAAAGATTTCTTTTTAAACTCCACAATTCCACCTACCCAGAAATAATCATTGTTAATTCTTTGGAATATATTCTTTTAAACCTTCTGTGTATACAGATGTATGTTTATTCTTTAATACAAGTGGAGTTTCGCGTTGCTGATTTTCCACCTACTATGTATTTGGGAAGAATAATTGTTTTTCAAAAGTAATGGTTTCTAGTTCACAAGTTCCAGCCATACACAAGGGCATAGAAAAGCTTACTTCTATTCACTTCTTTTAGTCCCCCTTTCCTTCTTTTCCCTCCACCCCACTGTTAGCAATTCGGGGGATTCAGTCTTTAACTAGGGTATTTGCCTGAAACGTGGGAGTGGTGCCAAAGCCCAGGACGGTTCTCACAGGATCCTCGCCCTCCCTGACCCTCAGGAGCCAAACGCCAACAGTGTAGCCTGGAACACTCAGTGTGAGGACATGCTCTGCTTCTCGGGAGGAGGCTACCTCAACATCAAAGCCAGTACCTTCCCTGTGCACCAGCAGAAGCTGCAGGGCTTTGTGGTTGGCTACAATGGCTCCAAGATCTTCTGCCTCCATGCCTTCTCCATGTCTGCTGTGGAGGTGCCTCAGGTAACTCGGGGTGCCTGTCCATGTAGCAGTGGTAGAGCAGACAAGACCAGGAAAGCTGGGCCCCTTGCTGGTGCTTTGGGGAGGGAGTGGCAAGGAAGCAGGGAGGACAGATGAGTGGCAACTGTGATACTGTGGAAGGTCATCTGGACCTGGAGTCTGCAGCCCTGTCATGCCAGCTCTCTGTCTTTGGGCAAACGGCTCGATCTCTCTGAGCCTCCATTTCTTCCTGAACTGCCCTTTCTGGTTAGGATGGGGAGGGGTATGCAGTTTTGCCAGCAGAGTGTGAGTCGTGTGTGGGACAGAGTGGGCAAGCCCCAGAGGTGGGAGTGTGCCATGAGTGTGTGTGGGGGGGGTGATAAGTATGTGTGTGAGACAGAGAGAAAGAGGGAGAGAACAAGTGGGGGGATAGGAGGCTGAGCTCTGTGAGCTGAAAGGGAGCATGGGACTCTGTACAAGTCACCTGAACCTGGAGGAGGCCAGACAGAGATGGGGGGGCGGAACATGGAGCTGCTGAATGGGGGAGGCAGAAACACAGACCGGAGAGCAGAGACTGACGACTCAACCGGGGGCAGGCCAATCTCAGCTGCCCTAGCTGCCTGTCTACACCTCATGTGCTTACTACAGGACTGTCATAAAACAGAGACATGCACCAAGAAGAAACTTTAGGCTTCAGAATCCCATCCTCAAGAGAGCATCACTTTTAAACATTTTGGAATATACCTATCCAGACTTTTTCTATATAATATATGCATGATATACAATTATGAGCATATAATTTTATAAAGGCATTTTTAAACAAGTGGAATCAAACTATAAATATTATGTCTTTTATTTATGTAAGTATTACTAAACAAGAGGTAGAGACTATTAAGCCCTTTATTGCCATCTTTTTTTTTTTTTTCTGAGTTCAGGAGTCTTATTCTGTCACCCAGGCTGGAGGGTGGTGGCACAGTCATGGCTCACTGCGGCCTTGACCTTCTGGGCTCAGCTGGTCCTTCCATCTCAACCTCCCAAACAGTTGGGACTATAGGCATATGCCACCATGCCCAGCTAATTTTTTAATTTTTTTGGTAGAGACAGGGTCTCACTGTGTTGCCCAGGCTGGTCTGGAACTTCTGGAAGGAGGTATTGTTAGATCCTCCTGCCTTAAACCCCTGAAGTGCTGGTTTTTATTGCAGGCATGAGCCACTGTGCCCAGCTGCCATCTTCTAATTTAACCTAACATTTAGATACAGCAGACCCATCACTTGTTATTAATTGTCGGTTATAAACTAGTAACCTGGCTTTTTCACTAAACAATCTACTGGAAATATGGTTCTGTGTCAATAAATATACTTATCCAACATTTTAAAACATGAAGGCCAGGCTCGGTGGCTCAGCCTGTAGTTCCAGCACTTTGTGCAAGGCTGAGGCAAGTGGTTACCTGAGCCCACGGGTTCCAGACCAGTCTGGGCAATTGGCGAGACCTTGTCTCTACGATAAATTAAAAAATTAGCCAGGTGTGGTAGTGCGCACCTATAGTTCTGGCTACTTGGAAGGCTGAGGTGGAAGGCTTGCCAGAGCCCAGCAGGCCGATGTTGGAGTGGCCATGAGTGTGCCATTGCACTACAGCCTGGGCAACAAAGTGAGACTCCAACTCAAAAAAAAAGAAATTAAGATAATTATAGACTCATATATAGTTGTAAGAAGATTCCAGATTCCTTCTGCACTGTGCCCAATGATGACAGTTTGCTGAACTCCAGTACCATTTTATCACCTGTGTAGGTTTGTGTAATCAGTCACCAGAGTCAAGACACTGAATACGTCCAGCACCACAAGATCCCTGGTGTTGTGCTGCCCTTTTGTAACTACCCCTCTTGACCCTTTCCTCTGCCCCTCTGCTAGCATTGTATTTAATGGCTACACTCTATCCTGTCACGTGGAAGTTCTACAGCTTACTTAGCCTATTGTTAGACATTTTTGCTGTTTGCAGCATTTTTACTATATAGTAAATAGTGGGCATCTTTCTAGCTAAGTCTTTGCATCTATCCCAATTTAACTCCTTTGTATAAATTCCTAGAAATTAAACTGCTGGGTCAAAGACCATGTACATTTGAAAGACTTTTAGACATATTTCCAGGTTTCCCTTACACTAGACTCTGTTGGTCTACTTTCCCTCCACACAACTCACCTTCAAGCTAGAGCCCACTTCTTCCTCTGAGCCTATGATGCTCCCACTACTCATTATGGCAGGAATTATCGGGGAAGTGTGCACTATCAATGCCTGACACAGATATGAAATGCTAGTGGAATTCAGATCCGGGGAAAAATAAAGAAAGCAAGAGAGAGAAGGTCATGAGGTAGGTGAAAGCGGTGGCAAGAAGAGTGGCAGGAACAGTTTCCCCAGACCGCATCCTTGCCGTCCTCATCCTGCCCCCGTCCTAAACCCATTCTTCCTCAGTCACACCAGACAGGCTATGCTTATTGAAAGGTTTTCTTCCGAGATTGCCATCTGAACCTCAAAAATAAATGCATTTTCCTGCTCCCGACTTTGGCCAGCCAAGAGGAGACAGAGGGGCAGCCTGGAGCTTCCTCTGCCAGGCCCTTATGATTCACCAAGCCATCCTGCTGACACAGCAGGTCAGAACTGCCAAGGTTAGGAAAGGCAGTCTCAAGACAAAGGCTGTTTATCTGTTGCCTCTGCCTCCAGCCATCCTGTGGTCTTGGCCAGAGAGGAAAGAAAAAGCACCAGATCCACTCTTGGGATTTTTGGTTTCCTTTCGAAATTTACATCATCTTATGCAAGAACTGGTTTGTCAGGGCTGCCAAATAGGACAACAAGCTTTAGTAGGGCTTCTCAGGATGGTGGTGACTTCATGCTTGGAATGCAACAGTGAGATAAAGTATAGCTCATAGGGTTTTTGCTCAGTTAGTGTATTTTTAAAAATTCTCCTCAGATTGTACCTCCCAAGCAAGCCTAAATAAATGTTAACTATCCGGCGTGTGCTTGATTCTGATATGCCTGTCAGAGTGTCTATCCCTTTCTTTTTTTTTTTTTTTGAGTTGGAGTCTTACTCTGTCACTCCCGGGCACCGCAGCCTCGACCTGCTGGGTGGGCTCTGGCGATCCTTCTGCCTCAGCCTTCCAAGTAGTTGGAACTACAGGTGCGTGCTACCACGCCCAGCTAATTTTTTATTTATTGTAGAGATGACATCTCACCAAGTTGCCTGGGTGGGTCTCGAACCCGCGGGCTCAGGCAGTCCACTCACCTCAGCCTCCCAAAGTGCTGGGATTACAGGCTGAGCCGCTGAGCCACCGAGCCCGACTGCCTATCCCTTTCTTATGAGACATTTACCATAGAAGTTGTGCAGTTTAGGGGAAGGAACATCAGCATTGAATCCTGACTCTCCACCTAAACCAGTTATAACTTGAGCAACTCATTTTACTGTTTGAAGCCTCATTTTCTTTTCTGTGAAATGGGGTTACTTATACCTATTTCTCAGAGACTTGGAGAGTCTGGTTTGCCTGCTTAATTTCTGTTGTTTCTTCTTATTACCAACAGTCATAAAATAGCAGAAACCACCCACACACACACACACACACACACACACACACACACAGAACTAAGTTGGAACAGAATGTACTTACTAAAGGGATTGAGAAAGGAATGCTCATTGTAAAGCTTCCAGGAGGGGGTGAAACTTGATCTGAGCACTGAGGTCTGGAAAGGCAGAGAGGCTGTGAGGAAAAGTCAGGGGAACCCAGGAGATAGTGAGGGACTGGTGCTGAGAAAAGCAGTGGACATCATGACCATGCCCACTTTTTGCCCAGAGCACTCGCATTTTCTCATTTTCAGAGCACGTCTCTTGCTTGCCCATGTCAGCCTGAGCTGGGCAGGGCATCTGAACAAAAGTTAATGGATTTACCCAAAAGTCATCTGGCTGGGATGTAGCTGAGCCAGGCCTGGGTTCTAGCGCAGATGCTCCCCAGCCCATGCCCTGCTGCCCTTCTAAAGGGAGGAAATCTGGGAGGGAAGACATGATAGGAAAGATAAGCACTTGGGAGCTTACTGTCAGGGTAGATCAGCTTGCTGTCAGGGTAGATCAGCTTATAAAGAAAAAAAGTTTCCTTCAACTCTAAAGCTGAAAAAAACGGGACTAGAAATTTCAAAGATAAAGGCCCCAAAGGGAAAGAACAGCATTGCCAGCTTCACATTTGGGAGCCATTAGTACAGAGACACTGGCCGATCGATCTTCAGTGTCCAGGATCCAGGAGAGATGCAAATCTCTGCAGCACATTGACTGACTGACCTAAAACAAGGGCAAGGCCTTTTGTTGTTAAAGATGTGCCTGTCCCCTGAGACTTGTTCTCTTGTGCACATACACACATGAACGCACACAAAGTAGGAAGGACACCAAACCTGGAGTGTCCAGTCACCTCTGGCTCCAGACTTGGATTTTCTGTTTGCCTAGTGTGTCTTTGACAAGTCTGTTGTCCTCTTTGAGTCCCAATCTCCTGGGCTATAATCAGGGAGTAATGAATACCTACTACAGAGGGCTGTTGGGATTGATCCAAAAGTACTTTAGAAACCTAAAAAAAAGCCAGGCTCAGTGGCTCAGCCTGTACTCCCGCACTTTGGGAGATTGAGGTGAGTGGATAGCCTGAGTCCACGGGTTCGAGACCCTCCTGGGCAACTAGGCGAGACCTCATCTCCACAATAAATTTAAAAAATTAGCCGGGCATGATAGCGTGTGCCTGTAATTCCAGCTACTTGGAAGGCTGAGGCGGAAGGATCGCCGGAGCCCAGCAGGTCGAGGCTGCAATGGCCGAGAGCAGCCACTGCACTCCAGTCTGGGCAACAGAGTGAGACTCCAACTCAAAAAAAAAAAAAGAAACCTAAAAAAAGAGAAGTTCTTAGGAACTGTTCACAGGTATTCACAGCAGCCTGTGGAGGAGGTCAGCTGCCCATGGGTGGCACATGGCCTTGTTAGGAGTGTAACTACAGTGTATAATTACAGCCCCTCCCAAGATTGGGACAAAAGGCAGAGGAAGCTCAGACTCCTTCCCTTGGGGTGGGGCTTCAGGGTTAGGGAAGAGTTTCCAGAAGTGACATTTTAACAGGGCCTTGAAAGCCAAATTGGTATTTTTCAGAGGGAGGGTGGGGAGAAGCAAAGACATTCCAGGTGAGGGTGACATCCTGTGGTAGGGCAAGCCTGGAGGTAGGAAAGAGGATGGACAGGAATTTTGTGCTGTGGAGCATTGTGGCTCAGCTGTGATAGGGGTGACAGGGTGGAGGGCACACAGGTAGGCGGGGTGAGGCTGAGCAGGTTGCTGTCTGAGCACTGTAGTGCTACTCTGCATTTGTAATAAAGTTGCTGCACATATCTGGAGGCGGGCTCTGTGTGAATCTCTTTCCATTGCTCTGAAAACAGTCTTCTTTTTCCTTTTGATGAAATCCTGCAGTCTGCACCAATGTACCAGTACCTGGATAGGAAAATGTTCAAAGAAGCCTACCAGATTGCTTGTTTGGGTGTGACAGACACTGACTGGCGTGAGCTGGCCATGGAAGCTCTAGAAGGATTAGAGTTTGAAACAGCAAAGAAGGTAAGCATTTAGTCAGCATGAACTGGAATTTGGTCCTTGCAGAGTTCCTTAAGGAGGTAGAAGGGAGGGCCAGGTGACATGGAGAAGCATAAATAGCTCTGACTCGAGGTAGGCTGACCTGGATTTAGATCTCAGCTCAGCCACTTTCTCACTGTGAGTTTGGGCAGAAAACAACTTTCCTAAGATTGCTCCATCCTCACAAAGTTATAAGGATCTAATGGGATCATGCCTGTAAAGCCTGCCACGGGAGAAGCATCTGATAGATTTGGCTGTCACTCTTATTAGCTATTATTTATGTAATTATCTAGCTAAAAGTTTGGCACATAATAGGCACTCAGTAAATGGTAGCTTTTATGATTGGTATAATCATTAGGGCATTTATTATACAATGCTGTTTTTCTTTTTTTTGAGTTGGAGTCTTTCTCTGTCACCCAGGCTGGAGTGCAGTGGCATGCTCACGGCCACCCCAGGGTTGACCTGCTGGGCTCAGGCGATCTTTCTGCCTCAGCCTTCCAAGTAGCCAGAACTACAGGCACACGCTATCACACCCAGCTAATTTTTTTTATTTATTGTAGAGATGAGGTCTCACCAAGGTGCCCAGGCTACTCTTAAACCCGTGGGCTCAGGCAGTCCTCTCACCTCGGTCTCCCAAAGTGCTGGAATTACAGGTTTGAGTCACTGTGCCTGGTCAATGCTGTTTTTCTTAGCACTTAGTATGTATAATGGAAGAGATGGGCAGCACTCTGATTCTCACCACTTTCCACATGCCTTCCGTAGTGTGGTTCATAGACTTGATTCATTATGTCATTTCCTGGCCTAGTCTGTTAAAGCTAGAGAAACAGTGAAAACATTTGACCCCTTTCTGCACGTTAGAAAAAAGTCGGCCAGGCTCAGCCTGTAATCTCAGCACTTTGGGACGCCGAGGTGAGTGGGTTGCCTGAGCCCGCGGGTTTGAGACCAGCCTGGGCAACTTGGTGAGACCTCGCCTCTACAATAAATCAAAAAATTAGCTGGGTGTTGTAGCGCATGCCTGTGGTTCAGCTACTTGGAAGGCTGAGGCGGAAGGATCGCCAGAACCCAGCAGTTTGATGCTGGGGTGGATGTGAGTGTGCCACTGTACTCTAGCCTGGGCGATGGAGTGAGACTCCAACTCAAAAAAGAAAAGAAAAGAAAAGAAAAAGTCCAGGTATGTTTCTGAGTTGTGTTCTTCTACCTAGAAGCTGAGGTGGAAGAAGGAATGGATTCTGGACCCCTCTCTGCTCTTCCTCCCTTCCCCTGTATCTTCCCACAGTCAATTAGTGAGATACTCCTTTTGTTCATACTACTGTGCTGGTATCGAAGGAGTTGCAAAGAGAGATGTGATGCCGGCCTCATGCTAAATCAAGACTTGTAGGCAGAAAAAGAGTAGATTGGACCAAACCAGGACTCGGAAGCCTGGCTGAGAACCAGTGGTGCCATGTAAGGGGTTCTGTGACCTCAGGCAAGCCACTTCTCTCCGAGACCCAGTCCTCCCATGTCTAAAATGGGGATAGTAAAAACACCTCTCACAGTGTCAGTTGAGTTAACTGAGCCGTTGCAAGGGGAATGTGAAACTAGGAATGGCTGTGCAAGTGCTAGCCATTATTAAAATAAGAAAGATTATCTTTCTATAATCATGATCTATATTTTTAGATCTACTAAGTGTAGGAAAGTGGTACTAGAGGAGGGCCTTAAGAATTCAGGGAGGTACAACTCCCTCGGGTCCCCTCCCACTATGGGAGCTTTCTGTCCTCTTAATAAATTCTGCTTTCTAAAAAAAAAAAAAAAAAAAAGCAGAAGGGGAAAGGGAGCGTCTCTATGCGGGAGCTCCCCCCACCCCCCCCACCCAAAATGCCAGCAGGAGTGAAGAGTAATGAGGGATTCCTGGAGCATGTTGACTGTGTTTGTTTTAGTGTAGAATGAAATGAAAGGTCTTCCCTCTAGACTGTTACCTCCTCACACTCGAGAACTAAACACCTACCTCATCCTGGTATCACCTCACACACCTAGCGCAGTGCCTTGGACAGGTCCAGCACTTAGCAAATGTTTGAATGGATGAAAACTAAACTGGAATGACTCTTCATTTATTTAGTGCTCCTATCCTGTATCCCCAAAATGCCCCCTGAGATCGGAAATGATTGTATTAAAGTTACAGGTTTTAAGCCTGTAATCCCGTGCTTTGGGAAGCCGAGGTGAGTGAATTGCCCGAGCCCGCAGGTTCAAGACCCTCCTGGGCAACTTGGCAAGACCTCATCTCTACAATAAATCAAAAATTAACTGGGCGTGGTAGTGCATGTCTGTAGTTCCAGCTACTTGGAAGGCTGAGGCGGAAGGATCACCGGAGCCCAGCAGGTCGAGGCTGCGGTGGCCGGAAGCAGCCACTGCACTTCAGTCTGGGCGACTGAGTGAGACTCCAACTCAAAAAAAAAAAAAAAAAAGTTACAGGTTTTTATATGTTTATTAAATTGAAAAATAATTATGTACTGTATACATTTATGATGTACAACATGAGGTTTTGAAAAAGCCACAAAATTTTGACCATAGACTAGAACTTGGTATTTTATCCAAATCCCAAATCCCAGCCTTTCTTTTTCTGCTGTGTCAATCTCTCAGGTGCACAAGCTTGTGGAGGGGGTGGTTCTCAGCAATAGACCAGTGTTCCCACTAGATGGCAGAGGAGAGCTGCTTAGTGCCCCGACCATAGCCCCGAGCAGAGCTGCAGATTTTTCCCTGTTCCCACATTTCCTTCTGCTGAGGTTATTCACGGGCCTTGTGACTCCTGACCACTCTGACCAGGCACCCTGACTCTGCAGAATGCATCAGGCTGAAGAAACTAAGAAACATCTCTCACAGGGGAAATCCTAGAATCCAGCACAGCAGAACTAGAAAGACCCTTGGAGGCCGGATTTGGTGGCTCAGCCTCTAATCCCAGCACTTTGGGGGACTGAGGTGAGAGGATTGCCTGAGCCCAGGGGTTCGAGACCAGCCTGGGCAACTTGGTGAGACCTCATCTCTACAATAAATCAAAAATAAGCCAGGCATGGTAGCATGCTCCTGTAGTTCCAGCTACTTGGAAGACTGAGGCAGAAGGATCGCCTGAGCCCAGAGGGTTGAGGCTGCAGTGGATTTGAGTGTGCCACTGCACTCCAGCCTGGGCCGCAGAGTGAGACTCCTACTCAAAAAAAGAAAGAAAGACCCTTGGAGAGAGAGCTTGTTCCTTTCCACAAAGAAGATGGTTGGAGCCCAGAAGTGGGGAGGAAGTACCTTCTGGGCCCCCCAGCTGGAAAGCCCTTCGAGCTAGGACTGAGACCTAGAAGGCCCCTTCTTTCCCTCTCTGCCACTTTGCCAGGCCTTCCAGTTTTCCCTCTCGTGGTGCTTTAGGAAACCCAGATCTAGAGGGTAGCATGTCAGACCTTCATCATGGAATATGGGTACTCCTAACCCTCCGTCCCTTTGCTCATGTGATGCCTACCTTGCCCTTTTCTACGAATTCCTCGTCAAGAATACCCATTTGCCAGGTTCCTAGTCTATGATGCCTTACTTAACCCTTCCTCCTGCCACTGCCTGTGCTCAGACAGTTAATCTGTGTTCTCAAGGGTATCTGGTTCATACTCGTATAATTCTTAGCTCAGGGAGATTTGATGATCTGTTTAATCTGCCTCCTCCCCTTTTAGAATGTGGGCCTCTCTATTGGGGAGGGGAACAGGGGCCAAGTCATATTTATCTCCTGGTCCTCAGCCTCTGACAGGATGCATGGCCCATGGGGTGAAAAGATGAAGTCACATTGCGGTCATCTGTGAGGCAGCTAGAAACCGGATGACTAGCTCATTTCCCCAAGTGTTTTTAGGAAGGAGGATGTCATGCAGCTAAGTAAAGGCTACAAGTGGCCAAGGTTATTCTACATTTTAAATTCTAAGGGCTCTGGGCCGGGTGTGGTGGCTCATACCTGTAATCCCAGCACTTTGGGAGGCCAAGGTGAGAGGATTGCTTGAACCCAGGTGTCTGAAACCAGCCTGGGCAACATAGTGAGACTTCATCTCTACACACACACACACACACACACACACACACACACACACACACAAATTAGCCAAGCACAGGGTGCACGCCTATAGTCCTGACTACTTGGGAGACTGAGGCAGAAAGATTGCCTGAACCCAGGAGGTCAAGGCTGTGGTGAGCCATGATCATGCCACTGTAACTCTAGCCTGGGTAACAAGAATGAGACTCAGACTCAAAATTTAAAAAAAAACCAAAAAAACATAACTCCAAGGGCTCTGGAGCTGCTGTCTCCACTCGGCACATATCAGCTCATTTCAAATGGTACAGTGTAAAGAAGCACAGCTCAGTAGAAATGTTCCAGCAAAGCTACATGAAGAGCAGCCTGACATGGTAGACTGTGTTCCTCTAAAACCTTTGCAGAATCTGAGAGTGGCAAAAGCAGCTTAGCTAACATCAGTCTGCCTGTTCCTCAGAAACTTCTAACAGTTCAAAGCAAGGCTGCACTTTGGCATTCACACAAGAGTTTGCCTTCCAAGGACTTGTAGTGATTCATTCCCTGCCCTCCCTCCTAAAACCATCTTTGTTTTTTCTCAGCTTTCCTCTCCTCTCCCTCTGTACTAGTACCACGGGCTCTGGATGCCCTGTGTTTACGGCACCACTGGGTAAGCATAGCTGTCTCCTGCTTTCCATTAAGTCACCTAGATGTGCCTGCAATTTCTCTCAGTCAGTACGTCTTATCCGTTCCTGCTCTGATGCCACTGCCTCAGAGTGTCAGACTAGCTTGTTCTTTGGACAGAGAGTCTCCCAAGGAGGTACCACCACAGACTACAGTATCATAGTTTTGTTTTACTTAATCCTAAATTGATTGATGCAACCAGGACTTCTTTGCTGTTCTTTGTATGGTCTAATCCTAGGGATAAAGCCGTGCCTCACTGGGCAGTATAGTCTTCCTGAACACACGATGATTAATCAATGTTTGCTTTTTTTTTCTTTCCTTGCTGGCTCACTTTTTAGAGCTTGACTCCCCACCCCCATCCAATCATTCACTTTTGAAGCCGAGAAGGCAGCTGATTTTATTCTTTATTTCTTCTCCTGTAGGCCTTCACCAGAGTACAAGATCTCCGATATTTAGAACTCATCAGCAGCATTGAGGTAAAAGATGAAGTATTCTTCCTTCTCAAGAAAGCAGACTCGGTATCAGTGGTTTATGGGCGGCCCTTCTAGCAGACAAGAACCCTGAGGACATGCGAACAGAGCTTACTGGTGTTTGGGCATCCAGGACACAGCCTTGCTCTGAGGAGCAGAGTGACCATGTAGGGGGAGACGGTGCCCTAGAGCTGGAATTGTAGTCTGTTGTTTGGTAGCTGGGTGAGGCAGATGGCTCCTAATTGCTCTGAATTTTGGTTTCTTATCTGTGAGATGGGATCAGACCTAACCCCCAGGATTGCTATGAGCATCAAATAGGAGGCTCTCAGTAACTGGTTTGCATCCTTGTAGTGGTGGTTAGCTGGCCACCATCCTCTCTGACTCCAGTAACCTGCCAGTGTTGGAGGTGTTTCCCAAATGCACATGAGCTATGTTCCACCCTCAGAAGTAGACCTGGGAAGAGAGGCCTGCGAACTGAGCTGAGCGCCTGGAGCTGCAGAGCACCCCCAGCCCTGCTGCTTCTGGCAGAGAACACTGGCCTTGTCAATCAAACCCAGATAGGTCTTGGGCAGGCTGAAGAAGCTACTTCTAAGTGTACCATTTGCTGGGTAATGGTAGACGCTCTTCTTAAGTTTTGTGTATCTCAGTGCTGTCTGACTGTCTGTAAAAAGATGTACATATTTTTTCTCCTGAACAGATTTATTGTGAGGGTATGGGAATGTGAGATACATTTGAATTCCCAGATGGAAGTAGTGAGGAAATCAGCAAATGCCTTGTCCCTCTAATTCAGTTAAGCATAATAAACGCCTGTTGAGGGCCAACCCTGGTGCAAAGCCTAGTGGGCACTGAGCTGTGTAAAAGAGAGGCCTGCAGAGCTCACAGCCTGCTAAGCCTAATAATGGCTGCCTCACAGCAAGTATAATGAGGCAGGTATTGTGTTATCCTTATTCAACGGAGGAGGAAGCTGAGTTTCAGAGAGGTTATTTCACATCCCCAAAGGTCCACAGCCAAAATCTCAGTTGGAATTCAAAATTTGCTTATGCTTTCTAGGCCACACACCCTCTTCCCACCCACCATGCACCCCAGAAGATCATAAGGAGCGTCTTCTGTTGTTTACTTACCTGAATGGTAATGCCCAGTGCTACTTACTGTTAGGGCTGGCATTTGTAAATCAACTGGCCTGGATCTTGAAGTCTTAATCTGAAGTTGTGGAACATAATGTTTCTCTATGCAAAAGTAACTGGTTTCTGTGAAGACTAACTCTTGTCATATGTCTTACCGAGTTCAAAATGTCTGTCTAACGTGCTATGAGCTGGGAAGTTGGCTAAGGTGAACTTGTAAGATTGTCTCTTGGAAAAAAGTAAAGTGTCTTTGAGTGAGGATCTATTTTGACTGCACCGAGGGCTTAGTTGTATACTTCTAGGTGTCTAATGTTGTTCCAAAGACTGAGGTTCTTTTTCCTTCTGGACGGGTGAGATGTCACTGTACTGATAACAAGAGAAGAGTCTGCCCATATTGATATGTACCCACTGACTGTGCATAGATTATTTTTATTTTTCATGGCAATATTCTGTGGCCTAGAATGGATATGGCCTAAATTTTATGTCTAGTAAAAACCTATTTTTCACCTCACTGGAAAATTTTAATTTATTTCTAACTATTAGGAGTTTAGTTTATTTGTCCAATTAGCCTGAACTCTGTGCAGGTTTTTAGAGAAATTATTTCTGTCACTGGGGGAAGCATGTTGCCTCCAGCTGTGAAAACTTTCACCAGCTTGTAGAAGAGTTTGATGCAATGTCTCATCTTCCACTGTGATACACTTGCTAGAAAACAAGCAAAAGGAACTGCCGGGGATGAGGGATGGGTGCTATTGAGTGTTTACAAATACTTGAGCTGCAGACTAATGAATGTTCCCTAACACAGGAGAAAGGAAGGTGCAGGGTACTTCTCTCTATCCTCAGCACTGCTAAGCATCTGTATGTATGTGTATGCACATGCTGGTGTGTTATTGGAGGCATTACCTGCTTCAGAAGACATTATTATATAATACAAAGTGCATCTGGAGTCAGGCAGAACTGAGTCCAAATGCCAGCTCTACCTAACTTCAACCTGCTCCTCTTTTAAAATTTTATTTATTTTTGGAGATGGGGTCTTGCTCTGTCACCCAGGCTGGGGTGCAGTAGCTTAGTCATAACTCACCATAACCTCAGACTCCTGGGCTCAAGTGATCCTCCTACTCCAGCCTCCCAAAGTGCTGGGATTACAAGCATGAGCCACCACACCCGGCATTGCTCTTCTTCTTGAGTCTCTGCTCTTTCATGCTAATACTTGGGTGGTAATACCTACCCTGAGGGTCACTGAGAGGAATAAAGGGTCCATGTGTGTATAAAGTATATAACTAGCACCTAGTAAATGTTCAGTATGTGGTATTTCTTTTCTTTTCTTTTTTTTTTTTTTGAGTTTGAGTTTGAGTCTGTCGCCCAGGCTGGAATGCAATGGCAAGCTCTCACCCACCACATTCTCAACCTGCTGGACTCAGGTGATCCTTCTACTTCAACCTTCCAAGTAGCTGGAACTACAGGCATGCGCCACCAAGCCCAACTAATTTTTTTATTTATTGTAGAGATGAGGTCTCACCAAGTTGCCCAGGCTGGTCTTGA